GATACTTATTTATGTTAACATATGGCATATGTTTTTGAAACACACACATTATAAACTGTGCTAGAAAAATTACTGTAAATCTATTATCAATTTTTTATTAATAATAATGAATTTAAACAATCCAAGTATGCTTTATATTCTGGTTTAATTAAAATACTTATCACAGAAAACCTTAATAAACATATTCTATTTATTGTAATATTAATTACAGTAATTAGTAAATAGTTACTTAACAATAATTAAACAAATAGTAATTTCATTCGTGTAGACATATGCACTAAAATAATATAATTATTGTTCATTAAATGGTACATTTTCAAAATTACACAATATACGATAAATCTAATATTAGTAATATAAATATTTTTTCTGCAAATATTATAAATACCCTAATTACTTAAGACGATATATTCTGAATGAAAAATTTGTTCACATTTCTCATTTTTCACATTTTTTCCGTTACACACAATTACAAATTTCAAATGTAACAACAGAATCACCCTATATTTTTTAATTAAAAAAAGATTTATTTTAATCAAAATTTACATCAAATTATACACACCATTTTATTTAAAACATTTACTATTTGGAAAGTTACTTTTTAAAAATAAAAGCAGGAAAAAACTAACCCATTTTCGTGCCTGCTTCCACATTGTCGAAAAAACATTCTTCCGCATGTGCATCTACAGTAATAAAATAACAACTTGCACTAGAACTCAAAAAACTTAAGTATAAACACAAAATGAGCCACCTCATTTTATCAAATTACAATGTGAACTAATTAAAAACGATGTATACTTTCTTTTTCTTGCCACTTCACAGTGGCATGTTGCTACCACAGCGCCACGTATGCATTTTGTCGCGAAATTAATAACTTAGATAGATGTACATCTTACTTCTTATTTTGACAAACATTTTAATATCACAATAAAATACTAGAAATTTTCACTTTTAATAATATTTAAATATTGGTTGCAAATTACAGTTGGGGTTTCAAATATTGCATACACAGATTAATATTATGTATGCACAATATTATGAACAGTATATGTGAAATTGTAGTACAGCATGGGAAAATACAGATGAAATAGTGACAGTGTGAAGACCATTGAAGATAACTAGGAAGACATAAAAGAATTCTTCCTAAATTTAACGAAAAGTCCACTATTTATGTAATATTTATTATTGTCTCGGGAGTCATGGATTCAAATCCTGCGCCTTATGATTTTTTTTTCACACAAGTGTGATATCCCTGGACGCCCTGGGCTCTTTCGTAGGTAGGCACTTACGAATCTCTCAAATTCCCCATCTGAGTGGTTCGAATGGTAGCCATCAGATGTCTCATCGACTCCATGCTTTCTCCCAAATGTTTGCTCTAGTTCTCATCACTGCATATACACTGAGGTGCAACATCGATCTTTGCCGACTCCCTAAACTAACACAAATACATAGCGGACGGTAGACCTATGTGAAATGGCGTACGATGCGCAAGTAAGATGCGCGAAAATCATTCTGTCACTAGTTGCCTAATTCTTCGCATTGAAGCGGCTGACATTTATTTGGTGTCGGTAAATTGGTAACTAACATACCGATATTCTAATTTATGTTACTACAGTCGAGGTACAGAATGAACCTATCACCACAGACAAGGTACAGGCACAGACGACGTATAGGGTAGACCAAACATCTTATGGGACTTTTTGTCACACGATCTGAAATACCGACGTCGTCCAAAATTACTAGTTTTGAAGCGCACTCTACGCTTAAGAATTGCATAACAATGTGTGTACATTGTTATTGTATTAGCAATACACCATAGGATCCTAAAACGCAAATGCATACGACTGAATCCATTCTGATTCATCCTAAGATTCAAAATTTTATCTCCTTCATTATTTAAAATAACAAATGCCAAGTGTTCCTGATTTCAATTCCAACAACTAATAGCGCAGTGATATAACACCAGTCTCAATCGGTACAGTAGGATGATGATAACGGGGCTCCCGAACCCCGTATCAAAAAAATACATTGAATGAGTGGTCTACTTTATATCTCGTCTGTGCTGCAACTGCTTCAACACGAGTTGTTAAGCGCCTAATGTCAAAATGATTTTCGCGCATCTCACTTGCGCATCGTACGCCATTTCACATAGAACCACTGCCGCTGTGCGTTTATGTTAGTTCTAGGAATTCTGCAAAGATCGATGAACTGTACTGTACATATTTTGTAATATTATTAAAACCAAAGTAATGTTTTTGTTTGCACAAAATAATATACAAACGATTAATAAAAAAATATAGTGAAATTAAATTGAATTATATCGAGGGATAATTTTACTAAATATAATACATGGTTGGTAACAAATATTAATCTTTATTTAACGTGTATATTATATTCATAAATAAAAGTATTATTTTAGTTATATGAATAAGAGATTGGTGCTCCTAGAGATAAAAGTTAATGGCACTAATTGCCAATAAGGTCAAGTATATAAACAATTGCCCTAAGCTAAACATATTTTAGGTCTGTGTTATTTGTTCGTAATTCCATTAAAAATTTATGTTTACTTAATCATAAGAAAGGATTGTTCGAATTTCTTGTCATGTTGCTCACACCTGAACCAACCTAAAAAAAACTTACTTATTTAGACATATGTATTTAAATATATTTTATAAACTTAAAACAAAACTAATGAATTCATACCATGAATGGATTTGCATGATATGCTGGAAGAGTTGGTTGCCACACTTTATTTGTCATTAATTGACTAAACTGAATTACATCTCTGTTACTAGATGGTCCAATACCTACCCACTGTGAATCTAAAATATTTATATATTTCGATTTACTTTAAGTCTCTAATATATTGCATTTTGTGCTATTTAAAGACTTACCGTTATTCATAGGAAATTGTACTGGCTTAAAAGGGTTAATAGGATTATACAGGGAAGTATCAATTGATTGTGTATTATTATTAACTATATTCGCCGATGGTCGCCATAAATCACCAGTTGCAAACGGATTTGAAATTACATTTGTGGTTTGATTTCCTACACTCCAAATTGAATTTGAAGCTAAAAAGAAGATAACAAAGCAATTTAAAAAAATATTGACAAATTAAAAATTTAGTAATATAAATGATGCATTTACCATTATTCGTATTCCATGTAGATGTATTTAAAGTTGTTGTAGTATCATCTTTCAATTGTATTTGTTTCATTAAGGAATCTAAGTCTTTCAGTGCCGCATAACGATCTTCTGATGGAGGTGCATGTGCTCCATTTGCATTCATAGCATTGTTAGAATTTCCTGTATTCTGACTAAACGGACTTGATGATTCAACATCTAAACAAAAAATAAATCACTATTGTAAAAATTATGTAGTACTAATTTGTAAAAATAGGAATGCATGATATGCTCTCAATTTACTTGTATTTTTTGGACTATTAAAAATAGGGTTGTTGTCAAAATTGGCAAAGAATGGCTGAGGTACAATTGGTTGGCTGAGTTTATTTGTAGATGTAGTAGTAATAAATGGATCAGGAACTTTGCTGAAATCAGCTACAAAATCTGTTGAAAAGTTATTAAAATTAACTGACTCAATATTATTTGTTTTCTGAGCTGATATAGAAGATAATGTAGATGTTCCAGAATGTGGGACTCTTGGAATGTTGGTTTGATTTGATGACTGTGACTTTTTATTTGAGTTTTGATTTGCCATGGATGGATCCAAGTAATATCTTTTAAGCTCATATTTTGCACTCATTAAGTCTTTCATTTTTTGTTCATCTTTAGCATCTAAGGTTTGAAAGGAATTTGGATTCATCAAGCCTAACCATATTCTCTTGCAATATTCATTACCACGTTCCTTTATAAAATCTATTTCCTCTTGTGTAAATGTTGCCATAGAAATAGATTTTACTCTATGTGGTGGTGTCAAGCCTCGCCTGTAATTTTAAGAAAACCCATTGACACGCTTGTTTGTTTATGTATAAATTTAATTAAAGTGTTCATACTATAATTATTTGATTTATGTACTTCTATTAACAAAATGGTTATAATTCTTTATAATGAAATCATTAATATAATCACTTAGTATTTGCATGCATTTAGTAAATTATAATAAAATAACTATGAAATGTTAAAAAATAACTATAACTACATTTTTTAAATATTAACTCTAGATTTTTAATGAACACTATATTGTGTATTGAAAATTATTGTAAGTTTGTAGAATTAATTATAAAAAATATTAATTAAGCTGTTAATAATTTTATACCATTAATATATATTATACTGAAATCAAATTAAGTTTTCTATAAATTTTACAGCATAAATACTGAATGTAACATTTTAACCATTGATAATAACTACTACGCACAAAGAAAACACTGATGCTGATAGTGTATTAACTTCCTGACTGTAAATGTAAGCGTTTAACAAAGATCCATAATCTTCTTCATAAGTCTATAGTAAAATGGATTCATTTCACATGTTACAACAAAGTCCAATTAATCTATGTATTAAATGTTTAATTTATGTCGTGAAATATTGACATTTATCCAGTGTTAATTACAAAACATTGATAATTAAATATTATGCAAAACATTTTCAAAATGTATATTACTAGTTCTATTTATTATGTGAAAAAATGATGAATAACACAATCATTACGTCATTTTTAATAACAAAAACGACTTGGTACACTTTATTGGTTTCTTAAAGGTAACAAGTACTTACAATATACCAGAACAAGAAGTACAGACAAATGAACCGATTGTCATGTTGACGTAAGTTGGGCCTCGTTGATGGCAATCGAAACATTCTTTATTACCGGGTTGCGAGACCAGCTCGCGTAAAATTTTCAAATTCTTCTCATCTTGCTTTCTTTTCGCAGACGCCATCATATACGAGAATACTTTATAATTCTAAATGGAACAGAGACACAATTCCTCTCGCGCTCTGCTTGCGGAACTGACTCAATTTTCTGTCACGACAGTCGTGAGTGTTCCGTAATACATTCTAAAAATGTTTTACGAGAAACAGATCAAACGTAATGTACGTTTACAATGATTTTTTAAGGTTGATTTTCATTTGTTGAACTCCTTATTTTTATTTGAAAATGAAAAAGTTTATTGGTTAGTTTTCGTGAACTAAAAATACATACAATTAAAAGCTTGTTTTAAAATCATCAATAAAAATGAAGCATATGCGAAAAAACTGATTTATATTTAGCTTGTTCTCACTTTACTTTACAGTACGGTACATAATAATGTATATATAAGTATATTTCGAAATATTTTATATGCATATGTGCGTACATTATTCTAAAGATACAAATAGATATCAGCAAAAAAGTTAAAAAATGTTGGCAACGATGTTTAGTTTAAAATGAAATGTATGTCGTAATCAATTTTATCTAGATTTAGAGATACAATTTAATATTTACGTTTAATAAAATTTAGATATAAAAGGCTATTAATGTGTATGAATTATTTATCAAGAAATTACATCTTCAAAGTGTTTATAAGTACATATTATAATCATCTATAAGTACCTGTTAAAAAATGTTTGTGTGTAAAATTTAATAAGAAAAATTCAAAAATTCAATTCGATGTATCAGCAAACTTTCGTCATGTTTTAATTTTAACCGAAAAATTGTAGAAATGTTATGAAATATTTAAAAATATAAGTATAAAATTAAAAAATATCTCATTTCGCATAATTCGAAAGCAAGTTAAGTATAACGCTATTAATAGTCGCCTTTTGAATTCTATTTGTAAATCAAAGATAGCACAAAACTCTTATGTACCAATTATATAGATGACTTGATTATAGAACAAACAAAATTGTTTAAAGGAACGCAGTCAAGGTTAATGCGTACGTACGTATGATTACTGAAGAAAAAAAGTTTTTATTATTTCATTTGCCACATTTGAACACGGTTATTTTGTATGATATTAAGGATTTCTGCATATTAAACGTTTTGCTTTATTTTGCTGTAGCTACAAGGAAAAGTTGTCTTCAAAGAAACAAATAAGAATGATCATTATTGTGTGCATTGCTAAATAATACAATCAATTTTAAAAAAGCTGAACTTATTTGTTTTAAATAAGATGACATCTCTTGCGATAACACCTACAAATACAAAAAGGTTTGTAGTTTTATTTAATAAAAAGAATGTGGTTTACAAAATAATTAATGTAATTGTAGTTGTAATTGATTTCAGAAAAATATTACAATTGTTCCTTAATTTTATAGATTTCCTCAGGCCAGAAATGTACGTCACGGTAGCGTTATTGATTTGGACATTGACATGTTTCTTAAGATATCAAATTATGAAGACACAGTTAGACAACTTGATATCTATTATGGAATTGGTATAAATGTTTTTCTTCAATATATCAAAATTTTATTTATTTAATCATTAGAAATACAGATTATGTATAATTTATAGTTAAGAGACAATTGCTACGTTACCAGAGTTGCATAACAGGTCTTTTTCCACAAATTTCAAATGACAAGAAAGTTGGAAGTGTACGAGAAAGTATTTATTGTGCTGCTGCTGTTTGGAGTTTGTACCAAGCATATAGGTAATTAAGCAAATTAAATATTTTATTTCATGATTAATTATGGGAATTATATTTTTTCAGACGTATAGATGATGATCGTGGCAAATCTTATGAACTTGGACAATCGGCTGTAAAATGTATGCGTGGAATTTTAGAATGTTGGGTAAAACAGTCTCCACGAATAGAGTTATTTAAACGCAACCAATGTAACCGCTTTGCATTGCATTGTAAATTTCATTTAGATACTGGTGATGAAATTTTTAAAGATGCTGATTATAATCATTTGCAAGTAACTATAATGTATTGTGAAATACAATGCATGTAGAATTGTTTACACAAAGTATTACAAGAGTTTTCTTCACAAAAAATTGAAAATTTACTTTTTTATATTGTTTTA